CTGCTTGAAATAATGCAATGGTTGAACTACCTTCAATTGTTGAAGCCCAATTTGTTTAAGAAGTCAAAATGATCAAAGTTTATTTTAATCTTATATTAATATTCATAATAACTAAATATAATTGACGTCAGTAATAAAAAACTTCTAAAACCGAAACTAAATAAAAGAAAGGTATTTTCTAAGATAAAAAGATCGTAGAGCATTATAAAATTTCGAAAGGAATTAAACACCACGAGAATGGAAAATTGCAGCGCGTCGTATAAATTTAACTGACATCAGTAATAAAAAAAACTTCCAAAACTGAACCCAAGCAAAAGAAAGGTACTGTCTAAGATAAAAGATCATAGGAAGAGCATGAAGAAATGGCAAAAGAGAATGAAATGTTGCAGCACGTCACATAAATATAATTGACACCAGTAATAACAAAAATTTCTAAACTCGAAACCAAACAAAAGAAAGTACCGTTTAAGATAAAAAGATCGTAGGAAAAGCGTTAAAAAATTGCAAAAGAGAATGAAGAATTGCAGTACATTGTAAAAAAGTAATTGACGTTAGTAATAAAAGAAAATAAAGAAGTAAGTAAAGACATCCAAATACGTCCAGCCTTTTTTCTTTTTTCTTGATTTCTTTTTACCTGAGCAAAAGAGAAACGCAGTGCTTGTTAGTGATAATGGTATAACATTTGGATTGCTTGCTGTTTTAAGTGTAACGGGATGTTGATATTGTTCCAGTTGTTCATGTGAAGACCGTGTAAATAGTATTAGCATTCCTATCAGAATGCCCATCCTTGGGAGTTTCAAGTACTTAAAGTAATGTGTTAAGATGATGTCAGAGGATTGTAGGACGAGGTGTCTCAGCAAGAGCTACCTACTTACGCTTATAAGTAACAAATTAGAGGGATTTTCGTCAAACATGGGTGAAGGATGTTAAAAGAGGTTGTCATGGCATGTAAAACTTCTATAGCTACTTCTCTTTTTGTTTAAAGAGTAGTTTAAAGATATTTGGACGAGCTCTTTCACTTTTACGGCGCGAAAAGATTCAAAACTTGATGGACACCTTTAAGTTCAACAGCATGTTTCCAATCGTTTCGGTAAGACAATAATCTTACTCAAATATTTCGCCCGTAAATACAAAGATATAAATGTTTGTCACTTGATTCCGCTTAATACATTAGCTTGGAAAGTAGATTCACCAACCAGATGACGCGTTCTACGTACGAAATGCACAATTACAATTATTTTACCTCCAGGCGATAGATGGCGAAGCTTCTTTCTGATTTCTTAAATTCTCTGTAAAAAAAGAGAGAAAATTTACAGCACTCTATGATATCACCTCACGACGACAAACAAAATGTCCTTTCGTGTCATTTTACCTTAACACTTATAGCGTTAGGGAATACTTTAAAATTGGTAAAGTATGTGAACCAAATACTTTCCAGCAAATAGAAATGTTTATGGCTCTTACTAATTCTAGATGAAGTATTAATTTTTAACGAGGAATTAAATATTACGAGGAAAGGCAAAGGGGTGATGCAGGATCTAAAATAAGGGAAGAGGTTATCACTTCCCAAATTGATTGATTGATAATTGATTGTTTGCGAATAATCCGACAGCTTGCGGTACCAAAATTTGATTCCAAGACAGACTTCACTGTTGTTTAGCCATTTTAGCGTTTTTTAGGGAAAAGCAAATATTAAACTTAAGTTGACTCAAGTATAACTCCCTAGCTTATACATTTGCAATGAGATCGGGAGACATGAAAGCACTTTAAAAGCACGGTGCTAATGCAACGAATGAGACAACCTCTTGTACTTACATTTTCATTTTTAACTCGTGAATTTGGCGCATGCGCAAGAGCGAGTTGTAGATACGATCTTGGGAATGGCACTCGCTCGCTCGCTCGATTGGTCGATTCCTGTAAACTCATTTTCGATTTTAGGCTTTTGAGTGCATTTGATAGTTTTTGGCGAGCAATAAACAAAAGAAATGGCGACCTTTGTTGCTAAGAATAGTGGTGGGGTGAAAAAGAAGCCAATGATAATCTTAAAAGAGTTCTTTTTTTCGTTTTACTTTCAACAAGCGGCGCCAGCGACTATCAGGCATGCAAGGATTCACACTGAAATAACAGAACAACATTCGTTTTTCATAAAATTGTAATTTACAATCCTTGAACTTGAAAACAATCCGAAGATTCATTGAAAACATCACTTACTGCGAAGCGCTCGGAGTTTACAGATGTTCAACAGCTTTTTCTGTTATGGCGTGAGATTGAGGACAAAATCGATCATTACGTTACATATCGTGAGTTTTTCCTGCGTGAAGCAACAAAAGATGCCGGCAACTGACGAAATTACAAGTTAACACGAAAATCAAATAACACCTAAACAAACAATTTTAGCTACCGATTTTCATTGAATTTTTAAAGAACAATTTTCTTTTAAGTTTAAAGACAATTTGAAGATACAAAATACATATTACGTACTAAAATGCGAAGTTATACACCACAAAGTTGATAAATAGGCCTGAAATGAAATTCTATCTTGTTATTGATTACACGTTGCCTAGCACGTGACTAAAATCTACCCAGGCGGAGATCCAAAATGACGGTGGCACTCTTGGCTTAGTTATATCACTCAAAACTCGTTCCCGTTTGTCTCATTTGATAAAGAGAGCATCGGTAATGTTTTCATTAAGACAGTACTGCCTTGGTTTTCTAATATTTACAATGATAGACAGTAAATTTCACTTTTCACCCATTTACTTCCAACCTTTTCTTTTGAACCTGAAACAAAAATGATATACGTTTAAAACACATGACATCATCCACCCTTGTCAAATGTAATAGCATGATCATTTCAATTGTAATACCTTCTTATCCCAACGTTACTTTGTTTCTTTGCTACATTAGCGAACACTGAACTACTGCTCGTACTCTAGATATGACAATCAACCACAAAATTCCCTCAACCAAATAACATTAAACATAATCCAAAAAATCATTTGTCAATTCACGAGTTTGCTCACAGAACACTTTGATTTTCTTTTGCTTCCATCTCCTCCTGTGTGTATTTAAGAACACAGAGAAACTCAACTCCTCTCTCTTATTAATTGTACTCGATAACGTAGGATGAGAAAAATTGCGATGCCGTAGGGGGTTAAGACCTCCTAAGGGTAGGGTGGGAGGAGAGTAACATGTAATGGACTAGCAGTCAGTCCAGGGAAGGAGTGGGAGCAGGGGAACCTGCAATGTACAAACATTCGATCCAGGGGGAATGGCGATACCCCAAGTGGATTCATAACGCAGCAAACAGGATGAGGTCCTGCAACATGAACCACCTGATTCCATAACATACAGGATAGAACTAGTGTTCGCTCAATTTACCATAAAATGGTAAAGGACGACTCTTGAACCTTATAAAAATGCAAAAAAAAAAAAAACCATTTGAACTCACAAGGATTCAAATGCCGCGAGGCATATCAGTCTATCAATCATATCAATCTATCAATTCTTTACTTATTTGTTCTATCGCGAAGTAAATGCATATTTCTTTTCCCTCGTAAATTTTATTCAATGTAGCTCAAACTAAATTGTTAGTTTTTAGCCCACCTAAGGAGAATTATCTAAGCGATGATGTTTTTCATAAAAAGAACGATGTTTCATCCAAAATTCATATTCCCTTTTAATCAAACGTCAACGTCCCTAAGGTTATAACAGAAATTTAACACTTTTTAAAAGATCAATAAACAAGAATGAAAGCAAATATTAGATATAACATCCTCCTCTAAAAACCAAAACCCAAAACTCCCAAGCTCAGATTAAGAGTAAAATTGACAAGGGTAAAGTACCTGGTTAAGGATGTCCCTTTCACAGACAAGATCATCAATGGCTTTTTTATCCGCTTCAGCCTGATTCCTGCTTGAGTAAAGGAAGAGAACGTCTATAGATTGTAAAGGTTAAATCTCATTTGAGTAATCTCAATTATTAAGTATGTTAGACAATCTAATTATCATGTTTTGTAATTACATCAACTTTTTACAAGAACTAAAACATTTGATAGATGTTTTATCGTTTATCTCAAGATATGGTCAGGCTTTCAAGATGAATTGGTCGCCTGACTCTTTGCCGTGAGACAAACGATTAAATATCTATCAAGTTATTCGCCACGATGAATAATAACATAATTTATCACATAAACTATGGTGTTATACTAGGATTTCCAGCCCCGAGAAAAGCCGTAACAACACACGTGAAAAGATGCGATATTTTTCCACGTGTGTTTGATATCGCCAATCAGCTGCTAACACGTCACTCGCCTTCCTCGCCACTCGGTTAGGTTGATGAATGAACAATACAGCCTTCACCATTCTCAATCCAAGGTCGTTTGTTGGAATTTTCGCGGATGATGGCTACTGAAAAATCCGTATCGTTTACAGAAAGTGACGTTCAAAATTTTCTAGAATGGGAAGAAAACCAAAATACGGAAAGAAAAACCGAAAGTTACGTATTCAGTGGCTTTGGTAATGATATTTCTCGCGGCTGAGAACAAAAATCGACTGCTGGAGTCGAGCTGGAAGATTTGCCACTAGCTGATTTTGGCATTTTGCGTGAAATATTTCTTTTCTGTCGGTAAGGACAAAGTCAAATACTGAGAATTTTGTTTAGCGAAAAGTACGATCATTGTTGTTTTTGTAATAATTCAACGCATTGAATTGTGAGCCTTGGCGCCAACGCATATTACAATTTTTATTCGGGGATTATCGATCCTTTTATTTTAATTAGTTAATAAAGCCGACTTTTCTTGTAAGTGGAGGGCTATTATGTTTATATCTGTTTAGAGATCCGTTTTTATCAACCATTCGGTAGCATACAGCGTTGTAAGGCAATACAGATGTAACTCGATCTCAGTCTAGTTTGACATTGATGGCGCATGTAATCACGTACATATTGTAACATCCTCCCTTTTTTTTTTGTGAAGAAAAGCTCGTAAAAAGAGAAAAAGAAAGAAAGAAAAGAAAAAAAAAAAAAGAAAATAAACCAATAAAAGTGTCAATGTCAGTTCAGTTCAGAATCAATGCCATAGGACAAAATCTATCAGCTGGTGAGTTCGACATGAGAGGATCGGCAAACGAGAACACTGAACCCTATGATAACCGCGAAGAAGAATTTAAAGTCACGAGTCTAGTCACGGATATAGTCCCTGAGGTATGCTGGGCTCCTCCTGACTCGCTCTGACCTCCGACATTGTTCCGGAACAGTCACCTCTTCAGTGTGTGGCTCGTGAGGAGCATTGCTCTGGTCAGCGGTAGACGCTGCGGTTGTGGTCGCCTGTTCATCTGCACTGGCCATATCCGGTTCTGGTGCTGTGATGGTGGGTTCAACTGGTGGTTCAGACGTTTTCCGTAGGTGCTGTCGGTTTCTGCGGTAGACTGCTCCGTTGTCCGTCTCAACGGTGTATGATCGCTCGTCGAGTCTTGCAGTGACTTTGGCCTTGCGCCAAGACTTATCTCCAAGTTTGAATGGCTTCATTCTAACAACATCGCCTTCAGACAAACTGGGTAAATCCTTTGCGGACCGGTTGTAGCACTTGGCTTGGGCCTGCTGGCGCTGTCGCAGCTCTTTCTTTTCCACTTCCAGGTTTATGGTCCTGGGTAGTAGTAGGCTTTGAGTGGTAGGAAGGAGTGTTTTGGTCCTTCTGCTCATCAGACGTTGTGCTGGGCTGGTCGTCATCCCTTGTGTCGGCGTGTTTCTATAGTCGAGTACAGCGAGGTATGGGTCGGTTACAGCCCTAATTGATTTCTTCAGAATGCGCTTGACTGTCTTCACCCCAGACTTGGCCTTGCCATTGGCTTTGCTATTTCCAGGGCTACTGGTAAGGTGCTCAAAATCCTATTTTCTGAAGAATTCAGCGAATTCGTCACTTGTAAACTGTGGCCCAATTGTCACTGATCACTTGATCAGGTATACCGTAGCGAGCAAAGTGACTCTTTAGCTTCAGAATGGTGGTGCTGGCTTTAGTGTTCGGCAACCTGTCCACCTCCCAGAAATTGCTATAGTAGTCTATGGTGACCAAGTAGCCTTTGCCATCAAGAGTAAATATGTCTGTGGCGATCTTCTCCCAAGGACGGGATGGGACCTCGTGGGACAGTAGTGTCTCCTTTGGGTGTGTGGTGCTGTAGTTCTCTACATATTTCACAGGCGGGGATGTGGTGCTTCATTTCCGCAGACATGCCTGGCCAGTAGACACATTCACGGGCACGCCTCAGACACGCCTCTATTCCAAGGTGGGACGAGTGAATCTTCAGCTTCATATCTGCGCGGAGGCTCTTTGGCGTCACAACGGAATTCCCTTTGAAAACCAGTCCATCTTGTACGGTCAGTTCGTCGCGCATGCTGAAGTAAGGGTGTGTCAGTGCTGGAGCATGCTCCTTCTTCTCAGGCTATCCTACGAGAATAATATCTGACAACTCTCACAGACACTGGTCCTTCCTGGTCTCTGCTCTTATTTCGTCTAAACGTTGGTCAGATATGGGTAGATAACGGACCATGTTGACTGATTCGAAGTCATCTACTTCTTTACCGTTGTAGGGCAGGTAAGCCCTTGACAGCATGTCGGCCAAATGCATGTTCTCGCCACGCTCATAGTGCAGAGTGAAATCGTATTTCTGTAACCTCATCATCATTAACTGGAGGCGTCGAGGCGCTCGAGCGAGTGGTTTCTGTAGAATCATCTCCAGTGGCTTGTGATCACTTTCGATGTGTACATGTCGACCAAATGTATACTGGTTGAAACGCTCAAGAGAGAAGACAATCGCCAGCATCTCTTTCTCTATTTGAGCATAACGGGTTTCTGTGTCGGTAAGGGAGCGACTTGCGTACTCTATAGGCTTGCCGTTCTGAAGTAATGCTGCACCAAGGCCACTCTGACTCGCATCACACTGTATTGTGAGGTCTAGGGAAGGATCGTAGTAACGTAGAACAGGCGCTTCTGTTACTAGCCACTGCACGTTTGCAAACGCTTGGTCTTGTTCCGAAGACCAGTTCCATGGAGCGTCCTTCCGAGTCAGGCGACGAATCGGTTCCATGACTTCAGACAGTTTCGGAAGGAACTTGGCTAGATAATTGACAAATCCATTGAGGCGCTGAACGCCTTCCACATCTTGTGGCTTCGGCAATTTTGTGATCGCCTCTACTTTGGCAGGATCAGGCTTCAGGCCCTTGTTCGTCAGGAGATGCCCCATGAAATTTACCTCGCTCATCCTCAGCTCCATCTTGTCTGGGTTAAGGACAATGCCGCGGTTCTTGCACCTTTGTAGGAGATCTCGTAGACTCCTGTCGTGGTTTGCAGTGGCTTCTTCGTCGGTCTCTCCAGTGCCATAAATGAGGATGTCGTCCGCGATGCACAGAATACCAGGTAAGCTTTCCAGTGCGTGAGTTAAGTGCTTCTGGAAAATCTCGGACGAGGCGGAGAGACCGAAGGGCAAACGAATCCATCTGTACCTTCCGTAGGGTGTTGCGAAGGTCGTGAGTACGCTGGACTCAGGGGCAAGGACACAGTGCCAGTATCCCGACTTGAGGTCAACTGTCGAGAATACTTTTGCTTTTGAGAGCTCCGGGAGTATGTCCTCAAGTACAGGAAGTTGATATCTTTCTCTCCTCAGGGCGGTGTTAAGTGGCGTGGGGTCGATACAGATTCTCAGCGCTCCAGATTTCTTTACAGCCACGGCAAGACTGCTAACCCATGGAGTGGGTTCATCGATTGGAGCTATGACCTCCAATTGCTGTAGTCGATCCATTTCTTTCCTCAGTTCCTCTTTGAGTGACGTTGGGACACGGCGTGGAGGTGCGACGACGGGAGTTGCGCC